ATAATAAAATAAAGTAATAATCCAACATGAAGATTTAACAGGGCCTACATCCTAAAATTAGAGACACAGAACAAAGACAGATGTATGGCAAAAAGGGAAATAAAAGAGTCCCAAATTTTCTGCCACTTCTTCTTTTGGATTTTTTGGTACTGGGGATCGAACTTGGAATCTTGCGCTTGCAAGGCAGGCAGCAGAACCACTGAGCTAAATCCCTGGCCCGCCAATTCTTTTTAATACTACCACCTGGCAGGCACTAGTCAGTGGAACGATGATAAATTCGCCCCTAATACAGACAACATCAAATGGGTGAAGGACTCTATAATGAATATTCCAATATCTTTAAACACTACAAACTCTCTTGGATAGACAAGATACTAGTGATTTGCATTTCTTTGTCTCTTTTTTTTTCCCTCATATTTCTTTGTATCTTTCAGCTACTTCCAAATTTTCTATCATTAGTATGTTTTCCTTCATAATTAGGAAAAGACAACTAAAAAAGTTAGGGCCAGGTGTCTGCCTGTAATCCTAGCTCTTTGGGAGGTTGAGGCAGGAGTATCACAGGCCCTGGATTTAGGCGCCAGCCTAGGAAACACAGCAAGACACATATCAAGGAGGAAAAAGCTGGGGTTATTAACAGCTTAGAAGGAAAAGGCAGATTTCTAAGTTCAGAAAGAACTAAAGGAGACAAATAAAGGGCAAAAATAGGACCAAAGAAAAAACACTAAAACAGTGGAACAGTAAACCCACAACAAGTAGCTGGCAGAAAACATGACCTGACAGCTCTCAGGCAGCATTGCCACACAGAGATGGGACTGTTTGCTGGTAGCAAATGCAATGAAGCAAGAAGCTGCAAGGAAGTCTCCTTAGCAAGACAGAGTTTTCTCCATAAATCTTGTAAAAAAACCAAAACAAGTTCATGGTAAGATTGAAGACGACTTTAAAATCTGCAGGCTTGTGAGGCAATCAGACACAAATAGGCCAATGTCCACAAAAGAAGCCACCCAATTAGCCAACACTCTCCGTTTCCTCAGTAAGACATCATCTAGAGAGCCATGAGTGTCGGGACCCAGAAGACAACCAAGACTTGGTTGTGTTCTTTCTTCCCAAAGCTTTCTACACTATTTGCAATGACAGCTACGTTTACGCGATTCAAATGCCATATAAACTGATAAATGTGCTTATAAAAATAAATGAGTGAGTTTTTTAAATAGCTGGTGGTGAATTAGGTACAGGTGAAATATCTGGAAACACTACAAAAAGAATCACATCTAACTAAAATTTACTGGGCCAGGGATTTGGCTCAGTGGTTCCACTGACTGCCTCGCAAGCATAAGGGTCCAAGTTCAACCCCCAGTACCAAAAAAAAAAAAAAAAAAAAAGTAGAAATTTATAGACTTTATATGTGTGGCTTATGAAATAGTCAACTGTGAACTCTAATCGGCAAATGTACCCTCAAAAGAAACAGCCATATCCCTATATTAGAAAAAGGGTGAATGAACGCTCATTTACATGTTTTAAGTTAAAACACAGACTGTTTATAACATCCATTCTTCATGTTAGACCTCTCTCTAACCCACCAATTGGTACATCTAATCACACAAGATAAAGTGGCTTTTCCCATCTTTGACTCACCAGCTCAGGATCATCCTCCTCTACATTTGTAGGTTTCCCTTCCTTCTTCAATTGTTTTTTTCGTTCCTTCACCTAAAAAGAGTATTTTTCATCAAAAGATGAGCACTCATACGTTAAGAATATCCACTGAGCTGTTCATATATGATAGGTATACTTTTCTGTAGGTAGAGGTACAACAAAATGTATGCAGTAAGTAAAGATAAGCTCTCTTAGCCCCACTAAAAAGAAACCCTGCAATGCAACCAAAAAAGTAGGACTGTTCAGTCCCTTCTCTAACCTTGTCTAAAATCCAATCTACCAGAAGGACGAAAGGGAGCTGGGAGGAGTTGCCCCAACTCATCAGACCATGCCAGATCCAAACAGCCTTGGATACAATGAACAGTTACCTATTTATCCTTCTCAAATTAGTTACACAGTTATAGGGAGAAAAAAGTAAGCTCTAGAAAAAGCTACAAATCTGTAGTATTATATTAAGTATAAACAATATTTTTCTAGCATTCCCACAACTACATTCTTGATTATTTTTACTGTGAAACTTCCTGAAGCCAGTAATTTTCACATCACAGGTATTTTACTGCTCTACCACTGAGCCCAAACACTTAAAAACAATTAAATACAGCCATTCACACAAGATTGACAACACTCATTAAATAACCTATTATACCAAAAAGACAAGTGCCTTCCAAGGGCTCAGAAAGGCCCTACTGCCACCCAGTGGCCAGGAAGTCTAAAGGATGACTTCCTTACAGGCATCACACACAGGAAGGGTAACTACCACAAAGATTTAAGAAGCTGTCAAGCACTTTTACGATTTCTGCCAGGACTGAGCCTACAAGTGCCATTTCCAACACATGATCAGCAAGGCATAGTTATAACCCTTCATCTCTTCTTTTTACTAATCTTCCTCATCTAAATTGAATTTATTATTGTTTATAAAGTTCTGTTTCAGAGTCCAAAGTTTTAAAAGGTCACATCCACATTCACTTGCCTTTGAAACAGCTTTTATAAATGGCCTTGAGATTTTTTTGCTATAGCAAATAAATTAAAATAACAATCCCCCTTACCTCAAACAAGCCATTTCCTACCACATTGGAGATTTATGTTATGCTCCCAAGAGCAAAACCCAAAAAACACCAGGTATAACTGAATTTCTTTGACCTGAGTCCTTCCCAACCATATTATTCATATAAACATGCATTTTTTCCCTCCAGTTTAAAATTTTTTGTTGTTGTTGTTTTGGTTTTTTGAGACAGGGTTTCACTATGTAGTTGAGATTGACCTGGAATTCACTATGTAGCCCAGGCTGGTCTCAACTCACAGTGATCCTCCTGCCTCAGCCTCCCGAGCGCTGGGATTACAGGCGTGCGCCACCACATCCGGCTACTGTTTTAAAATTTTTTATTCAAATCCCCTTACCAGCCATCCTGAAGCCCATGTTCCAAACCATTCACAGAGACAAGAATAAAAATCAAGAGTCAAGCCATGGCCACTGGTTCCTCCACTATTCCACTCTCATGGAGGTAAGGGTGCAACGTGATGAGAGGGCAAAAGCAGCCCTCCATTCACAACACACAACTGGTAGGGAAGGAGAGAGAAGCAGCATCCTGGGCCTTCCTCATCCTGAGTTCTTCCTTAAGGGGTGGACTTTAGGCATACATTATTCATAACTACCACAACTACAAGGTACTCAAAGAAGGAGTCACAAGTCATGCCAGTGGACACTACTACCTTTCATTTACCCTCCTATAAGGTGCCCAAGGCTTGCTGATACTTCCTTAAACACAGCAGCACTATAAATACTTACAGTGTGTTCCACGTATTCTTTTCCTGCCTGAATTACATCGAGGGCCCTCTTCTTTTGTTCCTGATCCAGTAGCAACTTGTAAGCTTTGTCCACAGCTATTGCAAAACATTGAAATTAACTGTTTCTGCAAACACCCTCTGAAAGTCTGAACTGAGGCAGTGCAAATGGACTTGTGCTCGCTAAAAGCACTCCCTTTGTTAAATTATTTACTGTTTTAAACTAACTTCTTCAAAAATATAAAATACAGCAATGACAGTGAAAGCATAGGAAAAAATTAAATACACTCAAGGCTGATACACATCCACATTTAACTCAGCAATCAAACATTTCCTAATTTATGCTCAAAACCATGATACTACTATGAAGTAACAGTCCTGTGGGCACACAAATGATATAAAAAAGTTATGGTCTACTTCTTCAGTTTGGTTATGTTTTTGTAGTTTTGAGAGGATTAAACCCAGGGCCTGACACACGCTCGGCAAGAGCTCTATGACTGAGCTGCACCCCCAGCCCCCCAAGGTCTACTTTTTAAACAACAGTCTCTTTTTACTGAAATCCACAGCTTCTTCATGACCAGAAGACAAAATTCTAACTTTCTTTTCTTGATCTAAAACAAGGAACAATTAATCCCTAGCACTGACAATTTACTACTCAGAAGCAGGTGAATTTACAAATACCTTCAAAAGCCTTTTGGGCTCTGTCGGCATCATCTTGGTTTTTGTCAGGATGCACCAATATGGACAACTACAATAAGAGAAAAGTTAGGCTTGTCAGAAGGAGACATATTTAGTAACTCTTAGGCTGTACTGTGAGTGACCCTTTACAGTCCAAAGCTCTAAAGTAGCATGGCAAAAACGACTAAAGACAGCATTTTAAAAAAACACAAATCTCACTGGGTATGGGAGAACACACCTGTAATTTCAGCATTCAGGAGGTTGAGGCAGGAGGATCACTGTGAGTTCCAGGCTAGCCTTGGCTACATAATGAGTTCAAGGCCAGCCTGAACTGCATAGCGAGATCCTGTCTTAAAAAATAGTAACAAAAAACACCACAAATCTTATAAAATGCCCAGAAATAGTTTTTAGCAAAACTCAAACACCAAAAGATAAATGCACAACTGGGAAACTTAGTTTTATACCCAAATTTGAGAGCAAACAGAAGCCTAATATTATGAAGATGCTTTAATAATTTGGGGAAGGAGGGATAGTACAAAGCACTGAGTTATTTTGTTCCTTGTCCTGAGCACTAAGGGGATAAAGCAAGCAGGAGACACCATCTGTCGGAGAACTCCTAATAATATAAAGCAGTGGTTCTCATTCTGGATGCATTCCAACCCTGTTAAGCTTTTCAAAAACAAACAAACAAACAAACAAAAAACAAGAAAACTATCTGCTGTCTACTTTCATATCTGAATCAGTCTCTGGGATCTATCTGGACTTTGTAAAGCTTTTCTACAATGGGTTTCAGATGACAGTAAGGAATTAGGGTTCATTTTGTTAGGTGTGACAGTTGCACAAGAAAATTTCCTTTTCTTCTTTTTTGTACTGAGGATTTAGTCCAGAACTTTCACACTGTGCTACAGCTACAGCTCTTCTATTTTCTGAGACAGGGCCTTGCTAAGTCAGAGCTCCCCAGGCTGGACTCAAACTTGTGAACCTATAGATCCAGCCCCCCAAGCACTAGGATCATAGTCACCTTTCTATTTAGGCAGGATATGTGTTAAGTATTTAGGGGAAAAACATCACGGTGTCTTCAATTTACAAATATTTCAGTCAAAAATATATAGTTAATGAAGCCACTACTGGACATACCACATGTGAGAGTAGGCCCCATTATTTCTTTTTAAAGTATAAAAATTTTTATAGCAAGCAAGTTAAGTCTGGCATATACCTATAATCACAGCACTCAGGAGGCTGAGGTAAGAGGATTACGAGTTCAAAGCCAGCATAAACTACATAGTTTAAGTTCCTGCCTCAGGGGAAAAAAAAAAATTTAAAGAAAACCTCCATAGATGATTCTTTCAGACATCCACAGTTAAAATCCCTGACACACTGTCACTGACAGAAACCAGAACTGTGTTGGGGGAGGAAACCAATGCAAAGTCCAGTATTAATAGAGTCCTAATCCCAAACTGATTCCAACTTCAATCACTTGCTAGCTATGAGATCTTGAACAACTCAATCTATCTCTGTTTCCCACTCTAGAAATAGGACAAATGCTTGCATCTAAAAAGGTTACCTAAGGGCCAGGGATGTGTCTGCCTGGCTTGCAAATGCAAAGCCCTGAGGCTCAATCCCTGGTACTAAAAAATAAAAAATAAAAATAAACAGGTTGTTTAAGGAGAAAATGAGATAATCCAAGTAAAGAAATTAGCACAATGACAAAAAGTAGCTTATGATGGGACATGCTACATATGCCAAGACACCTTAGGTTCTTTAAGTGTGATATTGCACTTAAATACTTGTAGGTATGCTTTACAAACAGGGTTATATGCCCAGAACAGTCCAAAGTAATTTGCCCATGTTCACAGTGCTTACAAGTGGTATTGTCAAGATTTAAATAAAATCATATAGTATAGTGCCATTGCGCTTAACTGTAAGTCCATGCAAGGACTCAGTAAAAACTCTTTAATTCATATAAAGTTTTCAGCTACATAAAGTTATTTAGAATAAGGACTTGAGTGCTTGCTTATTAAACAGGGAAAGACTACTTACTAATGAATTTCAGTTGGAAACACCATTTTAAGAAAAGAAAAAAGCTAAACTTAAGTGCAGAGTAAAGCTCAGGGGAAAAAAGGCTATAAAGTTATATAAGGGAAAAATGACTAAATGAGCAGGCGAGGATAAAAAACATCTTGGCTTAATAGCAGATCAGAAGATGACTATGAGTGAGCAATACTGCAGAAAATTACTGCACTGAAGAAGCAAGCATGTAACACCAGACATTAACAAGTACAGAGGCTGAGTATTACATTCAGCACTGGTCAGGTCCTGTTAAAATATGGAGTACGTAAGAGATACAAAGAAATTAAGGAAGGTCACAAAAGACATAAAATATAGAATCCAAATTGCAAAGACACAGGGAATGTGATTATTCAACTACTATAAGAAAAATCTAACAGCCAAGGCGTGGTGGCGCACACCTGTAATCCCAGCCCTCGGAGAGGCTGAGGCAGGAGGATCACTGTGAATTTGAGACCAGCCTGGGCTACATAGCGAGTTCCAGGTCAGTCTCAACTACATAGTGAGACCCTGTCTCAAAAAACAAAACAAAAAAGTCTAGGGGGTTACTTAGCTATCAAAACGGAAAGATTTTTAAAAGGGTTACTATAAAACTAGGCATGGTAGTACATGCCTGCAATCTCAGCACTTGGGATGCTGAGGCAGGAGGATCCCCAGTCCAAGGTTAGTCTGAAATACCTAAAATGTTCAAGGTTGCCCTGGACTACATAACAAGACCCTATCTGGGAAAAAAAGGATCATTATAAAATTTTGTATTTTGAATTACTAAATGTAAGAATGGGGCCAGGTGTGATAGTGCATGCCTGTAATCCCAGTAGGAGAATCACTGGGAATTTGAGGCCAGCCTGGGCTACAAAGTGAGACCTTGTCTTAAACAAACAAACAAAACACAGCCGGGGGTTTAGTTCAGTGATTCCACTGCCTGCTTCAAAAGTGCAAGAACCCAAATTCGATCCCTGGTACAAAAAGAAAAAAAAAAAAAAAAAAAACACAGAATCAGCAAGAATCAAAGGCTATAGAACTACTTTCCTAAAGAACTTTCACAAAGCACTATTTATATTAAAATATGTATTTCCTAATAGCTAAAACTTGGAAACTGCCCAACTGACTATCAACTGGTAACTGGATAAAAGGGGTTCGCTCTTTTTTTTTTAATAAAATGGAGTACTATTCAGCCATAAAGAATAAGAAACTAGAGACATTTATAGCTAAATGGATGCACATTGAGGCCATACTCTTAAGGGAGATAAATAGGACACACATGAGTAAATAATGAGTAGTTTCTCTGGTGTGAGAAACTGAAAGAGTAAATAATGATCAAAATGCAGAATAGGGCCGGGGATTTAGCTCAGTGGTTCTGCCACCTGCCTCACAAGTGCAAGGACCCAAGTATGATCCCTAGTACCGAAAAGTAAAAAATGTAGAATAGATAATGTGAAATAGGAAGACAAGGCATAAAGGGAAAGGGCAAGTGGGAGGGAGAGGGGAAGGAAAAAGGAATAAATATGAAAAAAAAAAGAAGTGCTCATTTCAGCAGCACATATACTAAAATTGGAATGATAAGAGATTAGCATGGTCCCCACGCAAGGATGACATGCAAATTCATGAAGCATTCCACTAAAAAAAGGGGAGGGGGTGTTTGCTCAGTGTTGGTGCCACCTGCCTTGCCAAAGTGCAAGGTCCTGAGTTCAATCCCCCGTACCAAAAAAAAAAAAGAGGAAAAAATGGAAACAAAGTCTTTATAAATAGGGAGGGGTGCAGGCATAGAAGGGGGGGCAGGAGAATGGGGAAAATCGTAAGAACCAAGATATATCCTGTAAAGGTACAAATTCCCAATGATGAATGTCATCGTATTGTATATCTTAAACGTACCAATACAATTAATGAATTAAAAATTAAATATGTATTTCCTGGGTATTTAAGTTTGCAAGATATTAAATTATACAGGTCTGGATGCCATGGTACACACCAGAGTCCCAGACATTCAGAAGGCTGAAACAGCAGAACTGCTTGAGACCAGAAGTTTGAGGCCAACCTGTGGAACTCAGCAAGACCTTGTCTCTCAAAGAAAATAAAAGTATTGAGGGATGAAGCCTGAAAGCAAAAAATTGTTAGGAATCATTTGGCACAGAGAGATCTTAGGAACCAGGGGATTTGATAGTATAAATCCATACAAGTTTCGCTATTCCAACTTGTACTCATTCCTCTTAATCAAGGGGATAGAGAGTCTATTTGAACACAAAATTCTTGTTTTATTCATTTTTTATTTTTTGGTTTTTTGAGACAGGGTCTCACTATGTAGTTGAAGCTGACCTGGAACTCACTATGTAGCCCAGGCTGGTCTCGAACTCACAGCAATCCTCCTGCCTCAGCCTCCTGAGTGCTGGGATTATAGGCGTGTGCCACCATGCCCGGATTGAACACAAAATTCATTCTACTCACAAGTAAGCTCTGATCATTAAATCATTTCACTTTTTTTTTTTTTTGGTACTGGGGATCAAACTCAGGACATTGCACTTGCAAGGCAGATATGGCACCACTGAGCTAATTCCCCAGCCCAAATTATTTAACATTTTGTCACTGTTTTGTATTGTCTTTTTAAAACAAGAACAATTACCTAGCCAAGGCCAGGAATTTAGCTCAGTGGTACTACTGCCTGCCTTGCAAGCACAAGGTCCTGAGTTCAATCCCCAGTACCAAAAAAAAAAAAGAACAGTTACCTAGCCTTAAGAGGGAGGAGAAGAAGGGTTAAATTTTGGCTCAAAATTATCAAGTCCTAAAAGAAGTGCATACTTCACACATTTTCAAAAGATTCAAACACTATTACAAGGAAATAGTACTATACCTGACGAAACCTCTTTTTGATTTCTTCATCTGTCACTTCAGGATCTATTTGAAGAACCTGGAAGAATCAAAATCAAACTGTATAAAGGAGGGTCAGGGATTTAGCTCAGTGGTTCCACGCCTGCCTCACAAGGAGTTGATCCTGAGCTGGAACCCTGGGACTGCCCCCCCAAAACTGTGTAAAAGATTAAGTTTCTATTTACGAAGTGTCTATTAATTTTATACAATAGGGCTGAATGGTAGGAACTTGCCTAGGAGGCCCTGAGTAGTTCAATTCCCAGCAACACACACACACACATATGCACACAACTATATATATGAAGTCAGCATTCATTTAGAACAGTATACCACAGCCTAGAAAAGTGGCCAGCACAGTTCTAAAACCTTCTCAAGAAATAAGAATGAGCAGGGGGGCCAGGGATTTAGCTCAGCGGTTCAGTGGCCTGCCTTGCAAGTGCAAGGACCCGAGTTCAATCCCCGGTACCCTCCCAAAAAAGAATGAGCATATCAGTGGGAATAACAGCTATATTGCTTTAGGGTTCTCAACTAATAATGCTTTCTCTCCATCAGAATAATTTACCTTACACCCAGAGACATGTTTTTATTTTGTTTTGTGGTGCTAGAGATAAACCCTGGGACTCTTACACCCTCCACAAGTGCACTATCACTGAATCACACCCTTAGCCCTAGAGACATGTTTTTGTACATAGGAGAAAATGTTCTCATCCATTAAGGAAAGTATTGCCACACCTCCTATCTTTATAAATATACAGAAAGCACAGACCTCAACAGGAAAGAAAATCAGGCCAGCTACTTAGTTTTTATCTCATAACAGAAATGGTCAGTGTCTCTCAACCCAAAATGAACATCAGAATCACTGTGGAAACCCATTTTAAGTGGCTCATGCCTGTAATCCCAGCACTCAGGAGACAGAGGCAGGAGGATCACCCCAAGTTTAAGGCCAGCCTGGGCTACATACTGTAGTGAGTTCAAAGTCAGGCTGAACTGATAGAGAACTTCTGTAAATAATCCAAAAACCTGGAAAATGTTAGGAAAATGTAAAATGAGATCTTAGTCTCTTAACAGCAATCTGCTTTGTTTAGTTCAAAATTAACAGACTCCAGGAGACAGTGACCATGAATTGGGATATCTGGCCTCATCCCTAACCTTGAACACCCACTTCCTATGTGCTAGAATAGATAGCTAGATGATTCTTGAAGTAAACTCCCTAACTACAAGAAATTGTTATATCTGGGTTCAAGGGAACTGTCTTGTTACTATAATTTGTACATGGGTAATGTGAACTAAGGAAATGAAATGTAACCACCTGAATGAGATCACAACTGTAAAACCTATAAAAGAGGAAGCTGCTACCCAATAGGAGGTCGATCGCTGGAACTGCCTTTTTGAGTGTGATCGACCTTTCCCTGGCAAAATAAACATTTTACTTCCATTCAGTTTGTCTGTATGTGCATGTCACTCGCCAATTCCTTCCACAGCAGAACTACAGTGAGACAAAAAAATCCACTTTGGGGCAACGAACTTTCTGGTCCCCCTTCTGACTCTCTTAGAAGCTTTCTTTCCCTCAATAAATTTTTTCTTCTTAACCTCCGTTGTTCCTAGAATTCATTCTTTGATTTTAGAGAACACGAACTCGCATTTCAGGTATCTAGCATGTTTGGGAGTTATATCTCTTCCCCCTATAACATTTTGGAGGTCTTCCAACGAGACTACTGGTCGGAGGTAAGAGTTTTCTTTCATAGGTTCTAACTTTGGTCTTTTTTGCTTCGTAGATTGCAATTTGTTTCATAGGCTTTCATTTGTTTCATAGATTCTGGTTTTTGTTTCATATAAATTCTTCTGGCCTTTGTTTTAGGCTTGTGGCACCTTTAGATAGTAGGATATAATGATATTGTGTAACCCATCTATCAGCCTATAGAAAAACCCAAAAGACAGCCATATTTTAACCTGGGAACCTGGTTCCCAAGCCACATTCCAGAAGCTCAAATAAGTACCTCTGAGTGCCTACTAATCTACTAACACCATTTCAGTTTGTATGTTAATAAAAGGTATTACATGGCTTTGGGAGTGTTTCTACAAGATCAGGGAGCTGCTCAACAGAGTATTTAAGTCATAAATCAGATAGTATAGATTCAAAATAATTTATTTAAAAAGAAAAGCTCTAGCTGGGCATGGTGGCGCACGCCTGTAATCCCAGCACTCGGGAGGCAGAGGCAGGAGGATCACTGTGAATTCAAGACCAGCCTGGGCTACTAACAGACAGAATCCAAAACAAAAAGGAGACCCCCTAAAAAAAAAAAAAAAAAAAAAAAAAAAAAAAAAAAAAAAAAAAAAAAAAAAAGCCCTAAACAATATAGTTAGAACACTTTCCTTTCAAGAGGCAAAAAGCAGCCATCCAGGTTCTTTGGTTATTAGTTTGATTTTATACTTGGCAATGCAATTGGAGTCCATCATAGCTTTTGTCTCTAGAGATGTGTTTTGCTAAGGATTGCAGATCCACCAGATCTTCCTTTCTGGGGGGTGGGGGGTACCAGGGATCAAACTCAGAATCTTGCACTTGCGAGGCAGGTGATGGCACCACTGAGCTAAATCCCCTCCCTCCGACCAAAAGCTCCTGATCATTCTGCACCTGAGATAGTTAAGATTCAGTTCTTGTGCCACACTTAAAGGCCCTCTTTTATCCCTTTTCCACTGCCCTGCCCCTGAGAAGTCACAGTTCTCAACAGTATTTAATTCAAGGCACTTCCCTTCTCTGTAGCTGCTGGATTTCAAGACAAAGCTTCCACAATGGTGAGCTTCCCTTCCCCAGAACCCTTCCAGAGTAAAGCTGACCTTCACTTAATTCTAGGCTTAATCCCAAAACTCTTGAAGACTTAATGTAAGTTTTAGTCCAGATTTATCTGTCTTTCAGCCCTTAGGTGAAATTAGAGAATGAAAAGAACAGCTAACCCGGCTATGACCACTTCCTTGCACCCCTAGTCTGCCACCACTGACACTGGAAAAAACAAAGTCTAAGAGACAACTTAGAATGGGCACAGAACAAGACAGATAGTCAGAAATGCCTTCTTTCCCTGTTTCTTTTCAAAAGAGAAAAAAAAATGTCATAGGTAGACATGAAGCACAGCAGGTTGGAGCCTTGGCAGGCCTTCTTCCCTCACTGCGTAGAATTCATACTTAGCTCCAGAGTGTCGCCTGGTCTCTTCTACATACAAACCTGGCCCGAGTGGATCCCTGCTAGAGATAGTTAAAATTACTTGTAACAGGGCCGGGGATTTAGCTCAGTGGTTCCAATGCCTGCTTCACAAGTGCAAGGTCCCGAGTTCGATCTCTGGTACCCCCCCCAAAAAACAAAACCCAAATTACTTGTAACAGTTTATCCCTTTAGAGAGAACAGTCATATGTGGCTGTCAGTAACCAAGAGAAGCCTGTATAGCTGGGTATTCCAGCCAGATAAACTGTTAGCTTACAGCCCACCTTAAAACTGTTTTTGCTTTCACAGGTATAGAAGATTTTTATTCCTTTTGATTCTTATTATGAGATCTGTTAATTTCTCTACAAAGTTCTGACTATTTTTTTTTATAATTATAAACCTAAAAATTATAAAAGCTTTTATAATTCAACTTGGCCAAATATTTCTGAGTGCACTCTGGTTTATAAACAAGTTGTCTTATGTGTTTGTGTTTCTCTGTTCAATTTGTTACAACATGTACAGCTGTTTTGAGTTACTTGTTAAGATAATTAAATAAAGACTCTTAGGCTTAGGAAAACAACTGGACAGGAAAATTTATTCCAGCCTTTGTTCACAAAGGAGACCCCAATAATTTCCACAGCCTTGTGGAAAATACATTGCTAAACATTATTGTGATATGTATACACTGGTCATGGTCAAAAGGCTAAGTTTTCTATGGGAAAACAATGTTTTCTTTAAAATGCTCTTGGTACAAGACAAAATTAAAGGACAAAGGGTTCTAGGTGTACAAGTCTTCTAGGGTATTTATGGTAATGATCTTTTTGACTCAGGTATCTGCCTTTCTCTTGCACTCCAGCTACTTGTGATAAGAGATGCATGTCAAGACAGCATGAGATAACCAGTCAAATAATAGTTTTCTTAAAAACTTATGTGATGGGGCTGGGAATTTAGCTCAGTGGTTCTGCGGCCTGCCTTGCAAGCTCAAGGTCCTGAGTTCAATCCCTGGTATGAAAAAAAAACTTATGTGATGTATATTATATGTGTTACCACACTTAGGGATGCTCAGTCACCAACCAGTCGAAACAATGTCACACACTAAAATTAAAGGTTAGACAGTATGTACTCCTCCTAAGGTACATTTATAGGCCAATATATGTGCTTCTTAGATGGCATCCTACTAAAGTATAACAAAGAGTTTTATGTCATTTAATGTCTTGTGATCAGATGGAGGTGTTTGACTGAAAGATTATTTCACACTAATATGGACACTGTTACAAAGAAAACGTCACCATGGTTGTCATGCTAAAATACTATGTATGGCTCTTGATCTTAAGTATCTATAATATATAACTGTTTTCTGTTAACATTCTGCAGGGATTAAACTATTAGAACAACCACGGTTGATAAGAAACAACAGCCCCTAACTATGCTTTAGTTTTCAAAGTGCTTACTTAATATCCTGCCAAAATTATAATAATTAAACTCACTACTCCTACTGCACTACTAAAATCACTGATCTCTTCTGGGTGTTCAACAACTAAAGTTTGGCGATCAAAACTAGAAATGTAACTGGGCGATGAGGACAGCCAATATTTTGAGCCCTCAAGGTCTGCAAGATCAAGGACACAAAGAACCTTTCCTACAGGACCCTACATCTTCGTTAAGTTACTCAACCTCCTGAGCAGGGAGCCTGCTGGGCACCAGAGTACAAATATACTGTGTGCCAAAGAAGGGTCACCACGAGGGAAGTCTTCCATGCTTTCACTGAAAGCAACACAGTCAAGCAAAGCTGTGACCTATCCTGACAGCCAACACTGACAGAGGAGCTGAGAGGCTCTATGCATGGT